GTAAGTAAGTAAGTAAGTAAGTAAGTAGTTAGTACGTTACGTACGTTACGTTCGTTCGTTACGTTCGTTACGTTACGTACGTAGTAGTAGTACGTATAGTAGTAGAGAGAGAGAGAGAGAGAGAGAGAGAGAGAGAGGATGTTTGTTGTGGAGGACAAAGGGGGAGCAATTGCTCTAATGTTTGCTGCCCTGTTTTTCTTGGGTACATGGCCTGCTCTGTTGGCCATGTTAGAGAGGAGGGGGCGCTTACCCCAACACACTTACCTTGATTACTCCATAACCAATCTTTTCGCTGCCATTATCATTGCTCTCACTTTTGGTGAGATTGGTAGTAGCAAACCTGGAATGCCCAATTTCCTCACTCAACTTTCACAGGTTAGTGTTTCTCACTTATTCTATGCTTAATTTCATGTTTTTGTTGCATGGCCAATGGTTTTTTTGATTTGGGTACTTTTGATCAATCTAGAACAATGCAGAGAGACAAAAGACTTTTGGGTTCACACGTCTCTCTCTCTGTGGCTATTCATCTTTTTATGTACCTTTCTCTACATTAATTATATTTGGATTCTTTTGATCTATTGAGAAAGAGAAGACATTTTCTTTGCAAAATCTATCTATCTATACATATATGGTTATGCATATGTATAATTATGAAGATATGAATGTGTGTCCTGGAACTTACAACTTAGGAACCGAATTGATCACTATAGTGATATTTTGATTCTATTTGCTACTACATTTTTTCAATTTAACATGTAGACCTCTATTTAGCATTTTGAAGGTATTTGGGATTTTTAAGTTCTCACGAGGTTTGGAAAAGGTAGACTCGTTCAAGTTACTTGGGCTTGGCAGCCCGGCAAGTCTGGAACCAAACGGAGCTGGCCAACTATGGCCGGTTCCCAATATTTTGTTCTATATTTTTTTCTACTCGGCCGAGCTTATGACAGACTCGGCTGAGTCCTTCAAACCTGACTTGGGCTCGGGATCCCATCGAGTCCCGACCCAAGTCCTTGTTTTTAACACTGATTCCAACAGAGAACATGTAGTTGCATATTGACTTATAGAAAGAACATGTATTTTATGTATTTCTAAAACATATGGTTTACTTCCTTATACCTGTTGACAGATATGTATTTTATGTATTTCTAAAACATATGGTTTACTTCCTTATACCTGTTGACAGATATGGGCATGGGTTAGAGCTCCCTTGGTTGAATCATCTTAACTTAAATTAGAAGAAATAACCTTCTTAATGTTGCATTGTTTAATGGCTATGCAATGCAGGACAATTGGCCTTCTGTTTGCTTTGCCATGGCTGGTGGTATGGTTCTCAGTCTTGGGAATCTTTCTACTCAATATGCTTGGGCCTATGTCGGTCTTTCGGTTACAGAAGTGGTCTCAGCATGCATTACAGTGGTTATTGGTATAAATCACTAACCTCCGAGTCATATTTTTTCCTTCCAATTTCCTTGCCAGATGATTCAATGTGTTCAAGTTATGATCTATCTTTGGTGAAATCGTTAGCATTGCTCAGATAAAGTTATTGCTCATTATCCATTCTGCTCTCAAGTTTCTACGGGCTCAAGTTTTCTTGTTCCCTCGCATTGCCATGTTCTTGTGTTTGAGCGAGTTTGAAGCATTGCTCTCTTTCTCTCCCTCTCTCTCTCTCTCTCTCTCTATATATATATATATATATATATATATATATATATATATATC